AAAAGGAAAGTAAAGTAAGCATTTCAATACCCACCAGTTTTCCCCAAGAAAAACTCAATGATAAGTGATCTCAGTCTGTCAAAGCAAACATCTGAACTTTTAGCATCTAGACTAAAAGAAAAGAACTGTCTACAACAAGAAGTTAAAAACAGCAACTTATCGGACAAGAGAGGTTGAACTTTTTCAATACTTTAACCAAGATGGAGAACTTGTACACTACAATAACATCCCGGGAGTTAACCATACCACGGGTGGGGTTTGAACCCGGAACCTCTTCTTCGAATGAAATTTGAATATCGATCTGGAGACTGGCGGCTGTTTATAAACAGCTCCACTAGAAGCCTGGAATGAGTCTTATTGCATCTCTTATGCATCTCTTCCAACTGCTCCCTCAACAAAACTTGAAGAATACGAAAATATCAAGATGGTCTTGCAGAAGCTTTGCTATCATGAGCACAAGATGTTGGGTTGATCTGAAGATGGTAAACTTCTTGTTTGTTTGCATGATCTAAAAAAAAATTCAGTGCTATTTGTTATTTGTCCGTTAGTCTCTGATCAATATATTTTTTCACATCTTTTATGTTTTTCAATGGGATACCAAATTTATCAAAAAATAGAGCCGATCAAGCAAAACCGATGACATATTCGGAATCAGCACCACAAACGTACCCTAAAATTGGTGTAATATCATTGGCCAGAAAATGAATATTGACCAGTGAATAATAATAATAATAATAATAATAATAATAATAATAATAATAATAATCATTCGTAACCTAAATACATATTTAACAAAATCTCAAGCCAAATCTGATATTTGATATTTGAAGAGATCCAGACTTACTGAGAGTAAGTCTTGAGCTCCGTGACTTACTGAGACTTAATGAGAGCAAGTCTTGAGCTCCGTGACTTACTGAGACTTAATGAGAGCAAGTCTTGAGCTCCGTGACTCACTGAAGCTTCAGATTTCTCTGTGAGGAAGTCATTTTTTCTAGTTTGTTTTTAATTAAGAGTCTGGGATTTGTTTACTAAGCCTCGCTCTCTCTCTCTCTCTCTCTCTCTCTCTCTCTCTCTCTCTCTCTCTCTCTTTCTTTCTTTTACACAGCGTTTGACAAGGTTAGGTTAAGGATCTTTAGCTTTATTGACAAGCTATTTACAAGTTAAGAATTCCTAACTTTATTGACAAGCTGAGAGCTGTTACCTACATCAGCTCATTTGAAAGCATTTTTATTGTTATGAGACATACAAGTGGGGAACAGGATGAAGTTGGAGACATCTGTGGGCCAGCTTTTTCATCTGATAAAGACTTTTCTCGTTGAAAAAAGCTGTCAAATGTGTTCCATCCTAGTCTCCGGGAAATTATTGATCTTGATGAAGTATTTTGGGGGAAAGGGACAGCCAGAGTGAATTGCTGTTTTCTGCCCGTTTGTGGTATGAAGCTTGCTCACGCTGTCCTCCAAGTGGACCAAGTGGGGGAAATTTGACAATGTTGGCCTTGAATAACATAGACCACCCACATCCCCCCTTGTCAAAGGCCTGCTGAATGACAGATCTATCCGGGATGAGTCCGGGGGCGAGAGATGAACACTTGCTCTTTTCTATACTCGTCAAGCGTCGCAGATGAGGAGGGGCAGCGGGCAAACCAAAAAGTGGAAACAAACTCAAGTGTGAGCGTACTTGTCCCTCATACGAATCTTGAAAACAATGCTGTCAAGCAGTGCGAGTACGGCGAAGTGCTGTAAACTTCCTGACTGCCTTGTTTGCAAGATTTACAACGTGGCTCTTTTTTCGTTTTGGACAAATTTCATCCCCAAGGGTATCAACTACTTACCCAGGACCAACACCCCCCCGTTCATATTCACATGTCCCGGGATTACCATCAGGTGCCTCCCTCTCTCTCTCTCTCTCTTTCTCTCTGTACTCACATAATTGTGCTTTTTAAAGGTCGTTCGAGTTCTTTGGGCCCCCCCTCTTCACTGGTCTACTAGATCCTCCCCCCCTGCTCCGTGGCTTTATCATACCTCCCTTAAAATATGTTGGATCCTGCCTCCACCACATCCACTCCAGAATTTCCACTTGCTGTCCACTCTGTCATGAAAAAATCTTCCTAACATCCCTTTTACTTACTGAGTCTTCAGCTTCCTACGGACCCCTTGTTGGTGTTCCCCTCTTGGGGAAAATCCTGTCCCTGTCCACCTTTCATTTCCTCTCTATTTTTTGTTCTATCATGTCCCCCACTGTCCCTCCTGTCCCCAGTGTCATCAGGTCGATTCTCTTAACCTCTCTTCGTAGGACAGCCCTTGTACTCCCGGGGCTAGTCCTCGTTGCAAACCTCTGCACTTCTCTAATTTCTTGACCGTTCTGGGCCAGATGTGGGTTCCACACTGGTGCTTCATACTCCAAAACAGGCCTGATGTACACGGTGTACAGAGTTCTGAACGACTCCTTAAGGGAGAGAGAGGACCGCAGCAGTTATTTGGTTTATGTGCGCCTCATGAGATGTGTTCGGTGTTATACTCACTCAAAGATCCTTTTCCTTGAGTGAGGTTTGTAGCCTTTGGACTCCTAGAATGTATTCTGTCTCTGGTCTTCTTTGCCCTTCCCCGATCTTCATGACTTTGCACTTTTCAGGGTTGAACTCCAGGTGCCATTTGCTGGACCAGGCCTGTAGCCTGTCCAGATCCCTTTGTAGTCCTGCCTGGTCCTCCTCCGATTGAATTCTCCTCATTAACTTCACATAGTCTGCAAACAGAGACACTTCTGAGTCTCTTCCTTCGGTCACCTCGTCACCTCGTCAAGTACCATGACTCGCTGCTGCCTTCCTGTCAGGTATTCTCTGATCCATTGCAATGCTTTTCTCCTTTATACTGCCTGGTCTTCCAGCTTTTGCACTAATCTCTTGTCCTGGACGCATGTGAAAAAGGTTTCTACAGGTACTCACCTATTTGTACTCACCTATTTGTGGTTGCAGGGGTCGAGTCATAGCTCCTGGCCCCGCCTCTTCACCGATTGCTACTAGGTCCCTCTCTCTCCCTGCTACAATGAGCATTATCAAAACTCGACTTAACTATGTATGGTTCCCGCCTGCCTCTGCCACTTTCCTAGACTAATCATGACTTGACTACTCTATACTGAAGAAATACTTCCAACAACCTTCGATTCATCTGATCTCTCAACTTCAATTGTGACCTCTTGTGTCTGTGTCCCATCCTCTGGAAGCATCCTGTCTTTGTCCCACTGTGTCTATTCCGCCGCAGTATTTTGATATGTCGTGTTATTCATGTCCTCCCCTGACCCTCCTGGCCTCCAGTGTCGTCAGCGATTTCCCTCAACCTTCTTCGTAGACAATATCCCCGTAGCTCTGGACTAGTCTAGTGCAAACCTTAGCACTTTCTCTAATTCTTGGACGTGCTTGACTAAGTGTGGATTCAAACTGGTGCTGCCTTACTCGCAGTA